TGGGCTTCGTAGCTCTGCTCACTAGTGAATGGAGAGCCAGGCAAAGCCACAGTGTCTTTTCTCATCAAGCCTTAAAGTCATAATGCCATTGCCTTTGCCAGATTCTGTTGATCACAGAGGCCAGCGCTGATTCAGTGGGGGAGAGGATTACACTCAGTGAAAGGTGGGGATCCCTGAGAGCCCGCTTAGAGACTGGCTCCACGTCGGGCTTGTCGTGGTGTGGATGTAATTGGGAAACTTGTTGTTGCCATAGATGGTGCAATACTGTAGAGTGAGTAGCGTGCTGGTCGAATTCAGGTAAACTCAGAAAGAAACTTTTATACAATTTAATTGAAGGATTTCCCATGGTTCTGATCATTGAGTCTGTCGCTTCACTTTACACTTTATAAAAGTAAATTGATGGCTCTCCCGGAGTTGGCTGAAGTATAGTGAGCAGCTCCCCTAAAATAGATCCAGTTCACCTGGTTTCCTTCTGGCTTCTCCTGACCACTAGGATTTATGTCCATGTTTGTTAAATTTCTCAATCCATGCTGTCCTTGATAAACATAGAAACACCATGGCTTCCTCTGGTTTTTTATTTAAATATGAATTACATATTGTAAAGCAAATGAAATTAACGGTGACTTTTTAAAACTTTGTGATACTCAAAGATTCACCTTTTTAAATTTAATCATATATCTATGTAAGCTTTTGAACCTTTGTAGAGATTCTAGAGGATGAAAAACCAGCTGCCTAGAGCCTCCACGCAGATGCCATTTAACTGGGAGAGGATGAGGGAGGGACATAGCTGGGCATCAAGGAGAAGTGTGGCTGAACTGCGCAGGAGGATCCGCAAAGTGAAAAGCCCTGTGAATTCAGTGACTGTATTTTAAACAAGGCACTGTTGCAGACTAGTTGTTTTTAAAATTTGTTTGTTTGTTTTTTATTTATTTATTTGACAGGTAGAGTTTACAGACAGTGAGAGAAAGAGAAAGGTCTTCCTTCCATTGGTTCACTCCCCAAATGGCCACTACGGCTAGAACTGCGCCAATCAGGAGCCAGGAGCCTCTTTCTGGTCTCCCATGTGGCTGCCCTGCACTGCCCTCCTGGGCCACAGCAGAGAACGGGACTGGAAGAGGGGCAGCTGGGACTAGAACCCGGCACCCATATTTTAAATTGTTTTTAAGGATTCTTTTTGAAGCTCTAAGAAGAGCTGTGAATTTTCTCAGAAAACAAGTCAATATACAGATACCAAATTAAGAATTCATTTTAGATATTTTTATCATAACTTTTCTTATATAACACTGTTAGTATTAATAAATTCCCCCATCTCCCACAATGGTATCTCTAGTGTGATCTTTTTTTTTTTTCAAAGATTTATTTATTTATTTGAAAGTCAGAGTTACACAGAGAGGAAAGGCAGAGAGAGAGAGGGAGGTCCTCCATCTGATGGTTCACTCCCATTCTGCCACAGTGGCTGGAGCTGCGCCAATCCGAAGCCAGGAGCCAGGAGCTTCTTCCGGGTCTCCCACGCAGGTGCAGGGGCCCAAGGACTTGGGTCATCTTCTACTGCCTTCCCGGGCCACAGCAGAGAGCTGGACAGGAAGTGGAACCAGCGCCCGTATGGGATGCCGGTGCTTCAGGCCAAGGTGTTAACCCACTGCGCAGCGCCAGCCCCTCTAGTGTGAATCTTAGTATTAGGAGGAGAAAAAAAAAAATCTAAGGGAACTTGGCACAAGTTTCTTGTTTTTGTTTTCTTGTTTTGTTGTCAAGGTGATCACTGGTTACAAATCATTTGCTTCACTTAAATTAAATTGATCTTTTATTTTGTGAGACCAAAAAAGTACTATAGAAGATTCACATGACAAATATCCATATTCCCAATACTAAGAATTTAAAATGCTCACATTTAGTCAAATTTCAGTTTTATAAAAATGATAGAACAGATAAAGCTGAAGATCGCTTTAATAACTACCCAAAGTCCGACTCCTGTTGCCCAGCCAAAACTGCTGTCAGCAGTCTATGAATTGTTTCTTTCAGACATGTTACATATCTCTAACACAGAGTATTAATTTGTATTTGCATTCATGCAAATTGCATCATATGCATTTTCTACCTTCCCTTCAATTTGTTTTTGTGATCTGGTCAAGTTGAAACATGTAAATTCAATTTATGTCACATGGCACTATCCATTAATTGATGGGTGTTTTGATGTTTTTTTTTCATCTATTTGAGACAGAATTAGAGAGACAGAGACAGAGAGAGATCTTCCATCTGCTGGTTTACTTACCAAATGGCTGAAATGGCTGGAGCTGAACTAATCCAAAGCCAGGAGCCAGGAGCTTCTTCCAGGTCTCCCCTGTGGGTGCAGGAGCCAAGCACTTGGGCCATCTTCCATTGCTTTCCCAAGCACATTAGCAAGGAGCTAGATTGGAAGTGGAGCAGCTGGGGCTTGAACTGGCAAACATATGGGATGCCGACAGCATAGGCCTGGGCAGTGCCTACCCCTGATGTGTGTGTGTACACAGGGAATGCTGAACAGTTTTCTTAGGTTAGGTCATGAGATTGCTCTTTTTGAAGGTCAGAAACACTTGAATTTGAATCATGTTATGTGGTTGAACCTAACCACACTTAGCAAGCTAACACTTGAACATGACTTTTAAATGTTGACTGTATGTTCAATGGGTAAAGTTTTTCTTTGCCATTTGCTTAATGTTAATGAAGTTAGACATATTTTCATGTTCACTGGCTATTTGCATTTCCTCAAATGAAAATTTCCCTTTTAGGGCCTGTGCTCATCCAAAGGAAAATAGAGCACTGTTGGAAGAATTTTTTGTGGACATACTCATGGACTAGGGAATGAATTACCTTGGTGAATACTGGGGTTTTTTTGGAAGTGTAGCAACTTGTTCCTTGTTCAGCGTACAATTTCCCTCATTCCACTGTGCAACTTTGCAATGTGGTTTTGCCACTCCATCCAAAGTGGAGCTGTCCCTGCTCTCTCCTCAATCTGTGCTGGTTGTTTACTTGCTTTGTTTTTGAAACTCTTTTTTTCTTTGTTTTTATTGACAAGGCAGAGTGGATAGTGTGAGAAGAGAGACAGAGAGAAGGGTCTTCCTTTGCCATTGGTTCACCCTCAGTGGTCCACACCGCATGGCGCACTGTGGGCAGCGCTCGCGCCGATCGATGACAGGAGCCAGGTGCTTATCCTGGTCTCCCATGGGGTGCAGGGCCCAAGCACTTGGGCCATCCTCCACTGTCTTCCTGGGCCACAGCAGAGAGCTGGCCTGGAAGAGGGGTAACCGGGACAGAATCCGGCGCCCCGACCAGGACTAGAACCCGGTGTGCTGGCGCCGCAAGGTGGAGGATTAGCCTATTGAGCCGCGGCGCCGGCCAATGTTTTTGAAACTTTTATTACACTTTTAAAAAATATCCTTATTGACACTGGTGATATTTATGAGGCATGTGACTTGTTCAAGCCCCAAGCATGGTGGAAATGATGTTCCCGATCGACAGCTGAGGCTTTCAGGGGCCTTCAGCCCTCCTCACCACCCTGAGACCACCACATAAGGAAGCCAGTCCAGCTTCCTGGAGGCGGGAGGCAACAAGGGGGAAAGCCAAGAAGCCTCAGTTGCCAGACACAGGACAGAAGCCATCTTGGACCCCCTGATCCAGCTGAGCCCCGAGCTTGAAGTCAGCTGCAAGAGTAAACCTAGGTAAGATGAGCCAAGTCACCAGTCAACCCACACAATCAAGAGATACTAAATTATTTTAAGCCACTGCATTTGGGAGTTGCTTGTTTTGTAGCAGTATTTTAACACAACAGTGCTCCAGTATGAGGTAGATAATCCGGGAGACAAAACAGAACTTCAAAGTACTTAGGCAGGATCACCTCTAACTTAAAACCCACAGAGCACTCACTGTGAAAAGCATTGTGTTAAGTACTTTGTATGTTACATCATTTTACCTTCCAAACAACTGTTACATGGAAACTACCCTTATTTTCCCCCAAGGTCACAAACCTGTAAACCACTAGAACTTGTGCAACCATTACCCTGTCTTCCCATGTAAAAAAAAGCATGTCTAAATATTTATCAGCTTATTAAGTCATGATTATTTGGCATGGAATTTTATTGATGTGACTTAGTTTTCAAAATTGAATAAAAAATTGGCCAGCGCCCCAGCTCAATAGGTTAATCCTCCGCCTGCGGTGCCGGCACACTGAGTTCTAGTCCCGGTTGCCCCTCTTCCAGGCCAGCTCTCTGCTGTGGCCCGGGAAGGCAGTGGAGGATGGCCCAAGTGCTTGGGCCCTGCACCCCATGGGAGACCAGAAGCACCCGATTCCTGGCTTCGGATCAGTGCAGTGTGCCGGCCACGGCGGCCATTGGAGGGTGAACCAACAGCAAAGGAAGACCTTTCTCTCTCTTTCTCACTGTCCACTCTGCCTGTCAAAAAATAAATATAGAAAAATTGAATAAAAAATGACCCAGTAGTCATGCTTACACACTCCATCTAAATGGACAGTATAGATGTAAAATGTGAAATGAGAACATTAGACACTCAGGGACACAGAACACTGAACAGGGTGAGGCTGAGGATCCTTGGCTCTGGGTCTAGAAGGCAGTGGCAGCTAAGATCTGTTCCTGTCGAGACTAAAACTATCCCCAAGAAAAACTGTAAACGTCAAGCTTTAACAAAATTTGACAAAAGTATTCTAATTCTAAGGTGAGGTTGAAAAAGGAAATAAAATAAGAGGAAGAGAGGCAGAATACCTAGAGCAGAAATAAACTCAGAACACTTGCTATTGTGCCACTGACTCTGAAGCAAGACTGAAAACATATTTAAGCACAGATCAACAGCAAACGCACATTCCGCCTAGGTAACAACTTCTACCTATAGTCGTGATATGTAGCTGTAAACACCTAAAAGGAAACCTTTAGTCCATAACAATTTGAAAAAGGACTAAAAATTTAATATTTACTGGTCTCCCCTCATAAATTAGACAAACTAATCAGAACACATTTTTAATTTGAGGATTTATTTCAGAGAGTTTGAGGGAGGGAGAGAGATCTTCATCTGCTGGTTTGCTCCCCAAATGGCAGCGTCAGCCAGGGCTGGGCCAGACGAAAGCTAGGAGTCAGCAACTTCTGCGTCTCCCATGTGGAGCGTGCTGGGGCCCAAGCAGCACTTGGGCCATCTCCTGCTGCTTTCCCAGGCACTTTAGCAGGGAGCTGGACAGGAAGTGGAGCAGCTGGGACTTGAGCTGGCACCCATATGGAATGCACTGCGCCACAGCACTGGCCCAGAACACACTTTTAAATTTTTAATGCAGATTCACACAGCATATACATGGCACACTCACACACATTTAAAAAAAAAGAGAGGATTTGCCCATAATCAAAACTTTATTGAAAAACTGACATCAAAATAGGGGATAACTTGTATACCTTATAAAATCAAACAAAATTACATTATCTTAGTAGATTCACTAGAATCACTGAACTTATGATAAGGCTTTCTGTGAGAACACAAATCCAGGAGGTTGTGTGGGTCACTAGTGTTGCTTTCTTCTAAAGGAACAGCCTGCAAAGGAATCATAAGAGTAAATTAAACAGACGTGTATTCTACCCTTGGTGTTATTTAGTGACAAAAACTGTAAGTAAAACACTTAAAATTTAAGAATAGTCAATTAATATTTATATGCAGATTTATCCTTTTATAGCAGAAATCTGCTATATTGTATCAGAGTTTAAGTTTTATTGATTTAAAAGGCAGAGATCTGAGACTTTCCTTTCACTGGTTCACTCCCAAAATGCCAGTAGGGGCTGGGCCAAACAAAGCCAGGACCTCTATCTGGGTCTCCCAAGTAACTGGGCCACCATCTGCTGCCTCCCAGGCGCTTTAGCAAGAAGCTGCACCAGAAACAGGCTGGACTCAATCCCAGGGACTCCAGTATGACAGTGGTGGCTTCACCTGCCCCAACGCCCACCTTCTGAGTTGATTCTGATAGGACTACAACTGTAACTCTTTTCAATACAACAGTTCAAACTGTTTTATGCAAGCTGTTGGAAGATGAACTCTTAATTTTTTCAAACTATTCTGAATAATTTTCCCAAAAGAGTAATTTGGATTAGAGTTCTTTTTAGATCTGTTAGGAAAACTCTGATACAACTGTACTCTTTGTACCATCTGTCAGCATACAGGCACAAAATTCGAAGATCATGGCATGATGACATGTTTCAAAAATCTTCCAAGTACACTTTAAGAGAAGTATTACCAACTTAGTATTCAGATATAGATCTTGGATTTGCTGCTATTCCACTTTTAACTCCTCCGGTGAGAACGTGAAAATCACAGCTCCCCAGAATATCACAAGCAAATTTACTGAATTGTGAATCTGCAAGTATTGCTATGGAACGATATATACACTTTCCCCCTTATTATTCCAAGTTAAAGAGGACTGAAAATGAGATTTTGTGGTAACCATTCAGTAGTTGCTAATAAAAACAGAACCTCTGGCATTTAAATTTACACATCAGTTATCTGTTGCTTAGCTAATAATGATTTAAAAAAAAAATCTTAAGTCAATCTTATGTACCAAATACATATGAAACAAAATATTTACAAAATTTAAAATCCTATGGTTTTAAAAATCCCTGTGTCCTAAATATAGTTATTCTTTTTCTTCCATTTAGGTAAATTTACTCCAAGTTAAGCAAGCTAAGTACAAAAGAATTGGTGTTCCAAACTTAGAAAAATAATAAAGGAATTCTCTGCTAGGACAAGAGTACATATACACTTATCCAATTCATCAGGACACTCTTTCCTAAAAGAGCACACAATACAAGTATTAATTTGGGGGCAAGCGCTGTAGCACAATGGGTTAAGCTGCTGCTTGTAACACCGGCATCCCATTTCATGGTGCTAGTTTGAGTCCAGGCTGCTCTACTTCTGATCCAGGTTCCTGCTAAGGCACCAAGTGCCTGGACCCCTGGCACCCAGGATGGAGTTCCTGACTCCCAGCTTCCACCTGGGCCAGACCTGGCTGTTGCAGCCATTTGGGGAATGACCCAGTGGATGGAAGATACCTCTATCCCCACCTTCCTGTCACTCTGCCTTTCAAATAAATAAAACTTAAAAAAAAAATTAAAAACTCTCTTGGTCATTATCAATTTAAGACCTTCTTAAACCCTTTAATAAAGACACAGATATACCTTCTGTGAGTCGGGCCTTCCCTCCTGTAGGCTGGCACAAAACTGTAGAACAGCCTACACAAAGAACCACTGTTTGGGCATGGCTGAAAACCGTGGTGATCTTGTAGCAACCTAAAAAGTGGGGCAGTGGAGACGGAAAGCTGAGGAAACACAGCACCTGTTCAACAAGCTGCTGATAACACGCAGTTATTGTGTAACAGTCAATCTCCCCGTGCTTCCTGGAAACACTAAGAACTTAGGTGCTGCTGACAGCAGGTCACATATGTAACAAACTTTCCCAGTAGGCACTTAAATTGTTTTAAAAGTGAAAACAATATTCTGCTGAACTGAGTATTTCCAAAACTTGATCATCTCAACATATAAGCAAGGTGGCTTTTCCCCTGTTGACTAGTCACATACGGCTAGGCCACCACCCTGGGCAGCGCGACCTGAGGCGGACATCCCAGCAGGAGACATCAAACAGCCTGCGAACAGCTTCAGGACTTGGTCTCTGCACTCGTTTATTCTGAAAACGCTGTAACCTCACTGGTATCCAAGTTTCGATATATCTAAATCCACATACCAAGAGAGCAAATCCTAAAGAAATTTTCCTTATGGAGAGAACAATCAAGGTGTGACATTTTTACCTGGGCATTTTACGTCCATAAAATAAGAATTCGGACTTTGAACTAGCCGTTTCTTTTTATGTTTCTTCTTTTCCTCCTCCAAAGAGGGATGGAGTAAATCTCTAGCCAACTGAATTAAAAGAAAAAAAAAAAATACACACAGGATCGTTACTAGAGTTAGACCAGGGCGCCGGCGGACGGGACCCTACGTGGACCACAAACCACGGCCACTCAGCGGAGGCCACGCTTCGGCCGGGAGGGCGGCTGCTCCGGGCCCGTTCGCTACGCTGACGGACACCGGCGGGCAGCACAATCCCCAACAGAAACCGAACCCCCGCCCCGGCCTCGCCCGCGCGCACGCCGGGGCACGGCTGCCCGCGGGGTTCCAAGTCCGATCCGACAGCGGTGACCGAGGCGTGGCCGCCCTTGAAGGAATCAGTAAGTAAAGCAACTGCGAAGGCAGGTTTTTTTTTTTTTTCCTTAACAAGCAGGAAATCGCGTCAGACGGCGCGAGCCGAAAGACCCCGACGACCACAGCCTCGCGGGCGCCCCCTTCGAACACCAAGGGGCTCAACGGCGAAGGGCGCCGTTCCCCCTCCGGGCCACCAGACCCCAGCCGGCGGCCCGCGGCGGCGCGGCCCGCTCCCCGCCCAGCCAGGGCCCGCCATGCCTGGGCAAGTCCCGACAAGCCCGCCACGCCGCGCGCGGGGCGACCCGAGTCGCTGCGCCGCGCTCGGCGGGCAACGTAGCGGGGCCCCGGAGGCCCTCCCGTCCTACCCTGGACAGACAGACAAGCCCCAAACACCCTCCGAGCTCGAGGTAAACAACTCACGGGCATGTCGGCGGTCCGCGAGCCCGGCGCCTCTCGCTGGTTCTGGCTACTCCCCTAGTGACAGCACGCGAGCGGGCGCTCGGCATCAACTTCCGGGACAGAGGAGGCGGGAAGAGGCGGGGCGGAGCGGCGGGCCGGGCCGTCCGCTCTAGGCGCTCCTCTCGGTGGTCGTGGGGGACGCTCCCGCCGCTATGTGCGGGTCGGCGGCCCACGGGCTGCGCGCGGTGCCAGAGGCGGGCTCTGACGGCTGTGCGTGGGGGGCTTGCGCCTCTCAAGGGGCTCCGTCGGGGTTCCGCCAGGCTTCCCGCGTGGCGAACGTCACCGCCTGACGGGAGGTGGTTCCGCTGTGACCAGTTGGAGGGGTCGGTGTGCGCGCGGATGACCAAAGACTAAGAAACTGGGGAGGCCCTGGACCAGGCCGGCCGTTCTTAATCCCTTTGTCTTTGCAAGAGGAATACGTGCAATGCTAAACGTTTTGGGAAATGCAGAAAAATAAAACACTAAAAATCCTAACCAGAAACGTTGTTTACTTTTGAGCTGTATGCTTACTTTTTAATTCACTTGGTGTACAGGTTGATTTGAGATTTGGGGTTTTTAAAAAAATTTCTTTATTTGAAAGGTAGAGTTACACAGAGAGAAGGGGAACAGAGATCGTCCATCTGCTGGTTCATTCCCCAAATGGCCACAAGGGACAGACCTGGGCCAGGCCGAAGCCAGGGGCCTGGAACTCTGTCGGGGTCTCCCACAGGAGTGGCAGGGACCCAAGGGCTTGGGCCATCTGCTTCTGCTTTCCCAGGCCACTCACAGGGAGCTGGATCTGAAGCCAACCGGCCAGGGCTAGAACGGGGCTCATAGGCCCTGCAGGTGCACTGCCCCGCAACACCAGCTCCTGGGATGTGGGTTTTCCGTGGTTGGAATCCTCTTGCGAAGAATCTTGTCTAAACTGTGATCCCCCCACTACTTTATAATGAACGTGGCTCCCTGTTACCTCTGATTCTCCTACATTATCATGAATATAGAAACTCATTGCAACCATACCCTGAAGTACAATTAAGTTTGGGTTTTTAAATAATGCTTAAAACTAAGAACTAACAAATATTAAATATTTTCATGCAGACACATTTATAGAACAATACAGTTGTATAGCATCCTGGCCTCCAGAGACATTGATGTAGTTGCTTGACAGGTGGAATTAAGGTTGCTAATTAGCTGAGTTTAATCTAGGGAGATTATCCTGGATTATCTGGGTAGGCCCACTGTAAACCCAAGTGGGAGAAGAGAGAGTGAGATTCGGTGATGGAGGAAGTGGCTGATAGGCACTATGTTCCTGGTTCTGACGATGGAAGAGAGCTGGAGCCAAGGATTGTGGGGAGAGACCAGAAATTATCAACATGCCCCCCGCCTCCCAGAGGCCCCAGGAGGAACACAGCCCTGTTCCCACAGCCTTGTAGCCCAGGGAGGTCTGGCTCAGACTTGCAAAAGCCGGTTAAGTCACCGCCTGAGACGCCAGCATCCCTCATGGGTGCTGGCTCCAGTCCCAGGTACTCCAGTTCTCCATCCAGCTCCCTGCTACTGCACCTGGGAAAGCAGCGGGAGATGGCCCACGTCCGTGAGCCCCTGTGCCCACGTGGGAGACCCACCCAGATGAAACTCAGATGAAACTTCAGGCTGACCCAGCCCCAGTCATTGCGGTTATTTGGGGGCGGTGAACCAGTGGATGGAAGATCTCTCTTTCTCTAATTCTGCCTTCCAAATAAATCAATAAAATCTTAAAAAAAAAAAAAATCCGAGGGAAGAATTGCTGCATCCAAAGTTAGGGACATTTTAAGGTTTATAATGTAGATTGCTAAAATTTTCCTCCAGAAAAGTCAAACCAGTTTAGATGAAAATACACGAGAATGTCCCTTTCTATGCGCTCTTGACATTATTAGATATTTTTCTGTTTCTCAGTCAATTCAGAAATACTAGGTACTATTTTTGTCATAGTTCACTGTTTTGGTTACTATTTTTCAGATACTTATTAGCCACTGGTACCTTTCTATTGGAATGGTCATCTATTTCTTTTCTTTTTTTAATCCTTCCATATTAAGAATATGAACACTTTATCATTTGTTACAAAATTTTTTCAACTTCTTCCCATTTTAATTTTTGGAGATTTTAAAAACATTTTTAAAAGAATTTATTTATTTTAGAGGTAGAGTTACAGACAGAGGGAGAGACAGAGAGGTCTTCCATCCTCTGGTTCACTCCCCAAATGGCCACAACAGCCAGAGCTGTGCTGATCTGAAGCCGGAGCCAGGAGTTTCTTCCAGGTCTCCCACAAGGGTGCAGGGACCCAAGGACTTGGGCCATCTTCTGCTGCTTTCCCAGGCCACAGCAGAGAGCTGGATCAGAAGAGGAGCAGCTGGAACATGAACTGGCGCCCATATGGGATTCCAGGGCTGCAGGCAGAGATTTAGCCTACTATGCCACAGTACCAGCCCCAATTTTTGGAGATTTTTATACAGAAGTGTTTATTTATTTACTACTTAGTAGTGGTTGTTTTAAGCACTACACCAAGCCCCCACTCCTGGAAGTTTTTAATACTATGTATTCATGTGTGCACACACAGAAACTTGCAATTCAAATATGTTGGCTTTTCCTTTTTGCTATTGTGCTTAGACAGGCTTTGGTCATCTTAAGATCAACTAGATAGTCATCCATGCTTTCTTCTGATTGTTTTGTTGTGATAAGTATTCTTTAACTTTTTAATTAACCTGGAATTTATTTTAGCACATCCCAGAACAATTTCTTTTTAAAAAAATATTTATTTAAGGGGCCGGTGCTGTGGCGCAGTGGGTTAAAGCCCTGGCTTGAAGCGCCGGCATCCCATATGGGCACCAGTTCTAGTCCCGGCTGCTCCTCTTCGATACAGCTCTCTGCTATGGCCTGGGAAAGCAGTGGAGGATGGCCCACGTCCTTGAGCCCCTGCACCCATGTGGGAGACCCGGAAGAAGCTCCTGGCTCCTGGCTTTGGATCGGTGCAGCTCCAGCCATTGCGGCCAATTGGGGAGTGAACCAGCAGGTGGAAGACCTCTCTCTCTCCCTCTCTCTCTCTCTCTTCCCTCTCTCTGTGTAACTCTGCCTTTCAAATAAATAAATCTTTTTTAAAAAATATTTATTTGAAAGGCAGAGTTACCAAGAGAGAAGAAGAGAAATCTTTCGTCTGCTGGTTCTTTCCCCAAATGGCCACAACAGCCAGGGCTAGGCTGGGCTGAAGCCAGAAACCAGGAGCCCAGCTGCCTTCCCAGGTGTGTTATTAAGAAGCTGGATCAAAAGTGGAGCAGCTGGGACTTGAACCTGCAACCATATGGTTTGCCAGTGTTGCAGGTGGTAGCTTAACCCATTGTACCACGCTGCCAGCCCTTTGAGCAATCTCTAACAATAGGCCTAGTTATTGCTTTTACGAGATATAACCTATGCCCAGCACAGTATCAAAACCTTTCCACCTCTAAGACACTCAGAGGAACCATGACAAATAAAATTCTCAGTATCAAGAAGATTGCGGGGGCAGAGGGGCAGGGGCCTGTAGAAGATGGTCCAAGTGCTTGGACCCCTGCACCCTCGTAGGAGATCCAGAAGAAGCTTCTGGTTCCTAGCCCAGGCCTGGCCCAGCCCCAGCCATTGTGGCCATGTGGGGAGTGAGCCAACGGATGGAAGACCTCTCTCTTGATATCTCTCCCTTTCTCTTTTTGTAACTTTCAAATAAATAAATAAATCTTAATGGGGGGCGGGGGGGACTGGCGCTATGGCACAGTGGGTAAATACCCTGGCCTGAAGTGCATCCATCTCATATAGGCGCTGGTTCGAGACCCAGCTGCTCCACTTCTGATCCAGCTCTCTGCTATGGCCTGGGAAGGCAGTAGAAGATGGCCCAAGTCCTTAGGCCCCTGCCCCCTCATGGAGACCTGGAGGAAGCTCCTGGCTCCTGGCTTCGGATCAGCGCAGCTCCAGCCATTGCGGCCAACTGGGGAGTGAACTATTGGATGGAAGACCTCTCTCTCTCTGCCTCTCCTCTCTCTGTGTAATTCTGACTTTCCAAAAAAAAAAAAAAAAAAAGAGGAGAGGGAGAGGGAGGGGGAGGGGGAAGGAGATCAGGACTCCATTGCTGACTGCCTGCTCCTCCAAAGCTCAGCCTCTCCTTAGCATCCTCTGCACTGACAGCAGATGGAGGGTCACATGGGGGTGGGGGGGCACGGCCCCGGGGTCCCTCTGGACAGCCCTGCAGGAGGAGCTCCCTGCTGGCCTCCCTCGGCAGGTGTGTGTGTGTGTGTGTGTGTGTAGGAATCCTGCTGACTGCCCGCGGGCCCCTCCAGCTCTGTCTGGCCGGGCCTGCGAAGGTGCCTCAGGCATCTCCCGGGTGGTGCCTGGCTCCCCTCACCTCAGCAGTGCAGCCCCCTCTGCTCCCTCTTTTCCTGCCGTTGAGCTGGTGCTAAGGGGCGCGCCGCCAGGAGGTCAGGCCCCGCCTGTCCCTTGGGCTCCCCTTCCGGCCCAGGCCCTCCTCTCCCCCAGGAGACTGCTAGGGGACTGGCTTTGATTTTCAGAAATTCAGAGAGTGTTGGGCATTGCAGAGTTCCAGTGCCCTGCTTTGGCCTGGCCCAGCCCAGCCCTGGCTGTTATGGGCATTTGAGGAGTGAACCAGTGGGTGTGAGAGTCTCATCTCAGTCTCTCTGCCTCTGTCTGTCTCTTCCCTCTTACCCCCATCACTCTACCTTTCAAATAAACAAATCTTTAAAAATAAATTCAGAGGGACAGGCGCTGCTAAGTCCTGCTTGGGACACCCACATCCCATATCAAAGCCCCTGCTTCGAGTCCTGGCTACTCTGCTTCTGATCCAGCTTCCTACTAACGAGTGTTCTGGGAAAGGGCAGGTGATGGATTGGATCCTTGCCGCCCATGTCAGAGACCAAGAGTGAATTCTGGCCTCTTGCCTTCCACATGGCTCGGCCCCAGCTATTGCACACATTTAGGGAGTGAACCAGCAGATGAAAGATATCTCTAAGTCTCTCTCATTTTCTCTCTCTTTGTCTCTCTCTAGTTCCCTCTCTCCCTCCCTCCCTCCCTCTCACAGCTTTTCAAATTAGGTGAAAATTAATAAATTTTTAAAAAGAAAATTCAGAGTGTG